ATTGAAGAGAGAACATCACGCCAGACCAAGTTCCATGGGAAAAATTTTATTTATCAATATGCTGTAGTTTCCAAACTGGTGGAACGTTGTTTCCATTGTAGCTGGTGCCGACAGGTTACGCTGAGAAGTGGTAAATAAGTGAATGACAAGAAGAAGAAAAAAAAGAAACATAAAATAACATTTGTGATTCAAACAAAAGGAAAGTAAATTCAACAGGTTTTTGCTTTCACATGCACATTGAGAGAAAAATAAATCATAATACTGTGGCTTTGGAAAAAAAAAACAGCAGAAACCACCTTACAGCATCCTTGTGCTAAATTAGGAAGGAGGGGACGACAAAGGAGAAGGGCAGCGGGAGAGCGGGGGGAGAGGGAGCATCTTTAAAACAAAAGACCGCCTGGGAGATAATGAGTGGTGTAAACCAGATGATTTATTGGCGAGCGCGCCACTGTCACGCTTTCATACGTGGCCTGGTTCTTTTCTCCGCTTCTCCTTCTCCCTCCTTCCCTGCGACCTTCCCCTTTCCGGCCCTCTGGACTTATAAAAACTGAAATCAGACTCTTCTTTTTTGGACCAACATCTTTTTGCTTTTGGCGTCGCCATGGGTGAAGGAGGTTCAAATGGAGCGAATAACACAATCTTCATATGCAGAGTTAAGCCGTGCCTCCAACATCATCATCATCATCTTCGTTCTAGCAACCTATCCCGTTTCAAAGCCACTCGGTGACAAAGGTTCAGTCTGTAGACGTAAAAATTCCTGTTGAATGGCAACATAAAAAAAAGCAAAACCCCCTCTCTGAATCCTAGTTTTATTTTATTATTATTAATATTAATATTTTTAAAACACGTGTGGTAACAAAGACTTTTTCGACAATACTGGATGCTGCGTAAAAGACAGCACATGTTGCAATATTCAGTTAAAATCTAAAGGAAAAAGAAAATGAAAACAAAAAAAGAAAAGAAATTGCAAGGATTCATACAAAACACACTTTAAAAAGACGGCTATTTACAAACATCCTCCATTACAAAAATCTAATCTTAAATTCTTCTTATGAGCAGTGTTCAGGTGGAAATTAAATCTTAAACTGGGCTCTATCCATATATTTACATTTCTCTGCTTACTCTTTTTTTTTTCTTTTTTTTTTTCATAATTCCTCCCGAAATTGAATAACACTAAGCGGTCGCTAGAATGAATGAAAATGAGATATGCTTTGTGGTAATTTGGTAATAACTCCCTAAGCTGGTGTAGATGAATAGAGGCGCGGTGATCCGAAACAAAAATATATGCTCTAGATGAGTTTTGCAGATGGGCGCATGCTGAGTTAAAACACAGGGACACACACACACACACACATAAAAAAAAAAAAAAAAAAAAAAAAAAAAAAAAAAAAAACCCCCGCCGGCGGGGGGTTTTTAATAA